TGACACATTTATTAAGTTAATCGATTGATTGCTACAGAAGTGTCATGAATTCATTTTGAAGTTACAAAAAAAGAGATTTACGAAGGAGTTTAGGGCTCAGCTGGCCATATTTAATTTTGATATTCAATTGACCTGGAAGGATCCTGAAAATTCCAATGGAATTCAAGGCAATTTGAAAGACAACTCCTGGTCACATAATTTATTTTAGTTTCCAAAAGTCATGTCATACCACCAGGTGGCGACCACCGAATTGACAGCCAACTGGTGTTGATATTTTCCTTGGTTTTACAACGTTCCAATGAAATCGGGAAAAAAAGGAAGGATGGACAGTAGTTAAAATAGACAAGATCAAACATCTCTCCAAATGATAGAAAATCTGTCCAAAACATCAATAACACCAACGAAGGTCATCAGCTGCTTGAAATTACCGCGTTTTGATCGCTCAGCAAGTTGTGAGAACATCGTAGCCTCGGTTCCAGACCCCGACAGTTTCATACGTCCTGGCAAGCATGGCGACCTGAAGTAAGACTGTGTCAAAGAGTTAACATTTCCGTTTTTTTTTCATCGACAAAAAGGGTCCTTTGATTTGTATCAATATCGTTAGCAGCTGAAATTATGAATATATCAAAGAAAGATCTAAACCTAGTTTTGCTATTTTTTTAAATCCATTATTTATCAATTAATTATTTTATACATTTTGTGAGCACGTAACAGATGGTTTTTCATTCTCGTAGATATCTTTTGTCTTTTGAATTTCTGTCTCTTCTCACGACGTCCTTCAGCGTTTCAGCGGCATGATGATATGATCACGTTCAGTCTGAATCGTGTCTTTGTTTTCTGAAACTTCCTCTGGCATTTTTTTATCAAAGTGGCTGACTTAATTGTTAGGCTAATGAAGAGAAGTTTCGTTTGAGCAAGGACTGACAAAAACAGAAAGAAGTTCCATGTAAACATTTATAAAGCATGTCGATATTATTATAAGAATAATTTAAGATCAGTAAAGTTACCGTATCCCTTGAAATTATTTTATTCGACATGTTTTCTGGAAATATTTGTTTGTTTTCGTTTTCATCGAAGTTAATGTTCGGGGCCAAGTCAAGAAAGCATTTGAGCTGAACGCTTTGTTTTCACAAATTCATTCTTCAGGTAGTCTATGATTGCTTAATGCTGTGTTCGTGATAACCGATTCATCGAGGGGAATGGACTGACCATGGTGTTATTGCTTTGTCAAAGAAACTACCCTCTGCGCCCCTACGTTGAATTTATGGCTTACGCAATCGTACATTCTGACACATGCACGTGCGTTTAATATTAAGAGAGCCGCATCTTATGATTGAAACTAAGGCGCCTGATATCCATGTCATGATGCGATTCACTGGTCGGTGTGGACAAGTCTTGTATTTTTGCAGTATTTCAAGGTATCCTTGTGCTATGGGAAACTATATATGCAAATAATTATTCTGCTAAGTACACTGCCAAGATTGGTAGCTCTATAGGTGGTTTACTATCTAAGTATGTTACCTGGTCATAAAAACCAGATGCCTCGGCATCGGGCAACTCGAATTTTACTTTACTTAATTGATTTGATAACTCTATAAACAGTCCTGAAAGTTTCAAATTACCGGTAGGTGTAGAAGGAAGAACGAAACAGGAATACTGTCCAAATGCTTATTTTAATTTTCCTGAACGACTGTCTAACATGCACAATTGAAAAGCAAGTCAAATTTTCCTTTGAAAATTTCCGTTTTCAGAGTTGTGTGAAATGTCATCTGTTTTCAGCTTCTTACAGTTTTCATAATTCAGGGTAATGGTAAAACATTGTTCAATTGATTTGTCAGATTTCTTCGGAAAAACTACGCTAATTATGTGCAAAATAAATTTCTGTAAAAGCTTCGCAGACACAGCAGCCTTTGCATTGTGCGCTTTAGCTGATTCTATTGTGTATCTATCAATTATATTTACATTTCAATTTATTCTCATCACTTGTCTGGTTGATATTGTATTGATACCGTAAGGAGAAATTCTGTATTGGTCACTTGTGGGAGTTAAAGGGTAAAAGACATTCTCCACCGGAGAGGGATATGACATTACAAATTGTTATTGTTATCTCGGACGCACTCTTTTTTGCAGTCGCTCGCTATTTCGAAGGTGGCCAGCCCAGACTCAGTTCGTAAAAGGGTTAGATGAAGTGTAAGCTCAGCGGAGCTCTGTGTATTTTTAACCAAGTGCAGGGTTGAGTGGTGATGTCTTTTCAGAGCTCGGAGGCTTCTAGTAGGTGCATATAACTCGATCTTTGTCTAAACGCGATCCATGACACAAGAAATTAGGCTTCATCAAAATGTTATGTAATAAATTGTTCATTCAAATTTGTTTGTTTTTCTACTCTGATAATTTCTCTACCTACTGTTTTTAGGGATCAGCAGTTTTCCTTTTATTTACTCAGCCGCTGTCACGGTATCAGTTCATCTTTTCACTTTACACCCTGGCTTATTGTTATTTATGACCATACTTCAATCACAAAACCTTGCTTTTGTAAGGAGGACCATGTTACGCAAAAGATAACTGCCGTGTGTATCTCTAACTTAAGGACTATCTTTCGCTGTCCTAGAGACAGACAACAACCAGCCAAAGCGTCACGTCGAAAGGCATTTCATCGCCTCTATATGTGATCAACTTGTTGCGTTGCTTATTTTTCCCTTTGGTAACAAATTCTTTAATAGCTTCCGGGACAGTGGTTTGCCAGACGTAACTGAGAGGCGGAAAGAAAATCGTTTTCTTCTAATATACTCAATGATAAGCAAAAATTCTGAAAGTGTACATAAATATGTATCAGTAATCTAGTGTATACTTACTTAATGTAACATAATCTCCACAGTAATCCCCAAAATCGTGTCACCAATTAATTTTCATCATTGTCGTCGTTTTTACGTGTTGACAGAAAATAACAAAATTAAAAAAAAATAGGAAAGGTAAGTATGTTCTTTTGAGTGTAGGTTTTGGTGGAGGGTTCGGGGTAAAATGTCAAGGTTTAAAAAAATATTTCAAATTGATTGATTAATTTATTTGTAGGTTTATTTAGAACTCATAAATATATCATTACTTGTATCTCGTGATCGTAGGACAGAAATGCCAGGATGTTAGTTCTCGTTTCCTCTCTTCAGCACTTTCTCTCATTCTCCTATTTCACTTACGCGTGTTTCAGTAAGTTATTCGTAATGGAGAATTTTAGACAGCGTTCTCCTTTCAAAATAATATCTGTTGGAAGTCTTTTAATACTTCCGTTGAGAAGACTTTGCTCGGAGAAAGTTGATAAAAATCCTCCCAAAAGTAAAACCACGACTTCATGAACCTCTATACAACGTGGTCCTTGGTAGGTCCAAGTCCCTTGGGCTCATAAGAGGAAACCCGCGAAAGGCGAAGAGAAAAGAGTAGGAAATTTTGCGACCACAAGATACAAAATATGTTTATTTAAAACTACAAATACGTGATTCACAGAACTTCGCGAAGTCAAACGGAGGAAACTTAAAGCGTTATAGACGAAATTTACATCGTACATATAAAAAAGCGGCGTTAAATTACGACTGCAACGCAGTTAGGGGGGAAGGGGAAGTGAGACACCGATAACTCACTGGTAGCTCGATATTTGCTCTTGTTGTGAAGCCCATGGTCCAAATCCCTTTTTTTATTTATTTATTTTCTCTAAAATACCTCAGCCGTCGAAATTCATCACCAAAAGGATCTCTTGACCGCTGAAACAGCCACCATAAATGACCAAGTTTTGTTTTGCGTGATCCAGGCGCGAATGTCGACAAATTTATGAACCTCGCTGCGCTCGAGGAAAAATAAGTAATAATAAAGATTAAATAAATAAATCGTTGGAATGTTTTGGATTGGTTGGATTTTAAGGATTTTGATTGGTTGGATTTTAAGTACGTGTTTTTTATGCATAGTTGACTGATTACATGGATAACTCAAATTAAAAAGTAAAGGAGACTAGAGTTAATATGTAAAGACACATGAAAAGGAAAATTCTCCATGATAGACCAAAATTTAGATGTGAAACAAATGAAAACACGGTGAAAGGCGCTTATATTGTTTATGGTCGCTCCGATGTCTTCGAAAGAACATAAGTCCGAAAGCGACTACAAGGATCAGAATAAAAATGGCCAGTAGCACCACAACAATCACAATCAGGTTAGGTTTGTTAGCATGTACATCGTCTGCCAAGGGATATTCAGTGACAGTATTCCCAAACGTGACCCCTTAATTTCGATAAAATGTGTAGCTGCTGAAAGGCAAAATTATATTACAGATCAGATCGTAGGAGTTCAACGGCGTCAAAACATGGCGAAGCAGTTCAAGTACTTTAATTGGTACTTTTCACATCGGATCTCTTTTGTTTGTGACATCTTTGAACAAAGAAAACATTGCAAATATTGCTGAAAATAGCTTTTCTTTCTTTGTTCTATGACTTCCAATAACTTTTAACAATTTCAAGTTTAATATCTCGCCGAAGAACAGCTTTGCTACACGACATCTCGAGCCCAAAAGCATTTTTAATTTTAATCGATTCGCATGCCTTTTTGTATGTTACTTCACCTGCCCTGTTTGTCATTCAAATTAAAATGACAGTTGATAAAAAGAAAAAATTAAATCAATAAACGGAATGAAATGACTGGAAGGGAAATCTTGGTTTCAGGTTTCTGTTTGGGAAACGCATTAAAGACATTTGGGGAAGAAATCCTTTTTACTCAAGGCAATCTTTATTTCTATATCTCTGAGTGATAATATCATTCAGTGAGCCACCATTGATTGAAATATCTATAAGTTAAATTACAGAGATGCAGTATTTAAACCCCTGAAGAGTGAAGCGATTCACGAAACAGGCTTGTCGGGATATATATAATATTTATCCTGCTCTGCTTCAACGTATTGAGCACTGTTCCACGCGAAAATCGACTTGCAGACTTCCTATATATAGATATATATATACACACATCATAAAACAGCTTTACAAATATAGTTTCAGCATGAGTAATTGGCAGTAATTAGCATAACACCAGCACCAACTATCATAATTTATTCATTACATTTTACTTTAACTCATGAGGGGAAATCAAAATTTAGAGGGCTGAACCTTTTGTCAAAGAAATTTCAATAAGCCTTTGTTAGATCTGATACGGTTTTATGTTCGTTTGTAATCTTTCTGGGATTGTACTGAGAATCAATATCATATAATTTTTAGGCTATTTGTCAGAGCTAGCCATCTAAATTTGTTTCTGTTTGTGCGGATACAAATCTTCCACACTCCGCGATTCCTGATCCCTGGTACGTGATCATGAACGCCTATTTGAGGTTATCACAGGTACCCCAACTTTGAATTTATTGCAAAAACAACAGCATTTAGATTTTAAAAGTTTTACGATTTCGCCTTTGAGCTCTCTGTTGAAAACGCCATATATTATCGGGCTGATGGCGGTAGTGCTACCAACAACAATGCTATAAAACACGTAAACAAGGCGAGGAGCGAAAAATTGACCAAGAAATACTCCAACTAAATCGATGACATAAAATGGCGTCCAGCAAATCGTGTAACTCAGTACGATAGCAAACAAAAGTTTTGTTACTTTAATTTCCTTCGCTGAAATTCCGCTGCCGCTTCCATTTCCACCTCCATGGTGTCTCAGTAATGCGTTGTGTTCTTTCACTCTTTGGTAAATCTTGAAATAACAACAAGAAATGATAAGATATGGAAGCTGAATGTTAAAGAAACCTGTCAAAAAAGCGTGTACCAGATTCAGCTTCGTCACATCATAGATACAAACCCCCTTTCCGGGATGAAATTTAAACTTGTTGCCGAGAAGCATGTAAGACACAGGAAAATTTCCAGCCAAGATCCATGACACAGCGATCGATATGTAAGCGTTCCTCTTTGTAAAGTACTTGCGATGAAGGTTCGATTTTACCATGAGGAAATATCGATTTATTGCAATTAAGGCCATGGAATAAATGGAACCTGTGGCTAACATGGCAGTAATGAATCCTACAAATTGGCAGATAGCGTCACCAAATGTCGGCGTTCCTTTTAATACTACTTCGGGGATGAAAATCCAGATGGATAATGACAACAATAACTCCATCGCACTCAGAGAAGCTACGTAAAAGTTAGAGATAGTTCTTAGCGATGGAGTCAGGCTTATGACCAGGAGAACAAGAAAATTCCCGCAGACGCCGATTAAACCTACTAGCAGAAACACAACCAGTTCTGTGAAAATCTCGGCTTTTGTTCTCGTTGCTAACTGCAAAGTGAACATTTTACTTCGATTTAGCTGAGCTTCGTTGTCTGCAAACATCTCAGTTGGATTCTCCTTTTCTATTACCAGCCGGGCAAACTATTGAACAAGACTGAGATAAAACATTGATAAACGTTATATAAAATATGCAAAGTGTTTCGAGCCATAAGTTACGACAAATGCCTTTAACTTGAAATATATAGGAAATTCTTCGTCAAAGAGGAAGAGCAAGGCAATGATTGACCGAGGGAGCGCAATATTGGCATGAAATCAAACACAGGAATTCAGGAAAAAGTTTTCAAGAATAGCAAACCTTTAGTGAGCGAGGATGCCGGCTGTCTTTTGGAAGAAACCCTATGCGTGAACTCTTTACGCCTCAGGGGTTATGATCTTGGGTTGTTTGCTCATACCTAAATTTAATCACAAGAACAATGACTTAGCGCAACAAGGAACTTAACGCCATTTGTACACGAAGTTAAGGACTATAATTTGCAAGATCATTTGCAGAGAAGGACATAACTAAAGCTATCAGCTGATAGAATCAGTTAATTGTGAACTGCTTCTCCCCCAAATGTCTTCTCCAAGTTGTCTATAAAAAATGCGAAAGTTAACATAATCATATGTTTTATTTTCATTTTTCAGTTCTACCTTGGACAGACTATACGCTACTGTCATGCGATTACTGTTGTTTTAGGAACGAACAATGGGATCGGAGCAAATTTTTTTCCTTGATATAATTTTTTCTTTCACGTTAATCTGATTGTTCGTCTGTACTTTAAATGACTGGTCGGGAAATCGCCAGACTATATCATGAGTAGTCCGTGAAGTGCGCAAAGTAATTTTCCTTTTTACGGTTCCTTTTTCTTTGGTTGATGATTCGCTTGCTCTTTAATTTAAGTTACTTTCAATTAAACTTAGATCCTGGAAGTGTTTCCGTTAAGTCTTGGGAAACATTACATTTGATCAAATTTTCATAAAGATTTAAGAGATATGTCAAAATGAAAATATGAAGTCCTTTAATTAGCGAGGGTTCTTCGAGAATAGTGAACCCTTGAAAGAGTCATCAACGTACTTTTCTTCTCAAAATAACGACCAAATTTTCATCGTACCAGTTTAGACAAGGAAATCACAGCGCAAAATGTAATGTATATGACATCAAAAGGTTTTCCAGAAACATGTCACTTACCTCAATCGGTTCTTTTAACAGAGGACGTCCTCCGATATCGTTGAACAGTGAAAAGATTGCTTACTTTTGGTTCAACCAACCAAACAATTGCTTCTTTTTGTTCCGATTTTTATGCGCGAGACATTTTAAATTCCGTGCTTGCTCGAGAGCAAAATCGAAACTAAAAACTTCTCAATCAGAGTTCCCCATCTTTCCCTTTGTCCAGAAAGAACAAAATGTCAGAATGACGTTCAAATGACACATTTGGCTTGTGATTGACAGCTGGAGCTTAACCGCACCAATCAGGAACTCCGTTCGTGGGCGAACGGAGTTTTGCAAAATAACAATGACTTCGGGCAGGCGTAATCTTCACTTCCTCACCCCCACCCTTCTCCTTATTTTTGACCGACGATCGCCCCCTTGGTACAGCCTTCAGCTGCCATTAAAATCAAAGATGGCGGCCACAATTTCGTTAAGGAAATACTGAGCACTCGCGCGCCAAAATTGCGCCTGCTCTGTAGGTTAACAATTACACGGTTTTGTCTTTTGTTCTTTAACTACAAGTGATATATTCCGTTCAGGAAACACTAATTGAAAGTTACATTTCTTGGGATGAATTCAGACTGACACATTTATTAAGTTAATCGATTGATTGCTACAGAAGTGTCATGAATTCATTTTGAAGTAACAAAAAAAGAGATTTACGAAGGAGTTTAAGGCTCAGCTGGCCATATTTAATTTTGATATTCAATTGACCTGGAAGGATCCTGAAAATTCCAATGGAATTCAAGGCAATTTGAAAGACAACTCCTGGTCACATTATTTATTTTAGTTTCCAAAAGTCATGTCATACCACCAGGTGGCGACCACCGAATTGACAGCCAACTGGTGTTGATATTTTCCTTGGTTTTACAACGTTCCAATGAAATTGGGAAAAAAAGGAAGGATGGACAGTAGTTAAAATAGACTAGATCAGTCATCTTTCAAAACGATAGAAAATATGTTCAAAACATCAATAACACCAACGAAGGTCATCAGCTGCTTGGAATTACCGCGTTTTGATCGCTCAGCAAGTTGCGAGAACATCGTAGCCTCGGTTCCAGACCCCGACAGTTTCATACGTCCTGGCAAGCATGGCGACCTGAAGTAAGACTGTGTCAAAGAGTTAACATTTCCGGTTTTTTTTTCATCGACAAAAAAGGTCCTTTGATTTGTATCAATATCGTCAGCAGCTGAAATTATGAATATATCAAAGACAGATCTGAACCTACTTTTGCTATTTTTTTAAATCCATTATTTATCAATTAATTATTTTATACATTTTGTGAGCACGTAACAGATGGCTTTTCATTCTCGTAGATATCTTTTGTCTTTTGAATTTTTGTCTCTTCTCACGACGTCCTTCAGCGTTACAGCGGCATGATGATATGATCACGTTCAGTCTGAATCGTGTCTTTGTTTTCTGAAACTTCCTCTGGCATTTTTTTATCAAAGTGGCTGACTTAATTGTTAGGCTAATGAAGAGAAGTTTCGTTTGAGCAAGGACTGACAAAAACAGGAGGAAGTTCCATGTAAACATTTATAAAGCATGTCGATATTATTATAAGAATAATTTAAGATCAGTAAAGCTACCGTAACCCTTGAAATTATTTTATTCGAAATGTTTTCTGGATATATTTATTTGTTTTCGTTTTCATCGAAGTTAATGTTCGGGGCCAAGTCAAGAGAGCATTTGAGCTGAACGCTTTGTTTTTACAAATTCGTTCTTCAGATAGTCTATGATTGCTTAATGCTGTGTTGGTGATAAAAGATTCATCGAGGGGAATGGACTGGCCATGGTGTTATTGCTTTGTCAAAGAAACTACCCTCTGCGCCCCTACGTTGAATTTATGGCTTACGCAATCGTACATTCTGACACATGCACGTGCGTTTAATATTAAGAGAGCCGCATCTTATGATTGGAACTAAGGCGCCTGATATCCATGTCATGATGCGATTCACTGGTCGGTGTGGACAAGTCTTGTATTTTTGCAGAATTTCAAGGTATCCTAGTACTATGGGGAACTATATATGCAAATAATTATTCTGCTAAGTACACTGCCAAGATTGATAGCTCTATAAGTGGTTTACTATTTAAGTATGTTACCTGGTCATAAAAACCAGATGCCTCGGCATCGGGCAACTCGAATTTTACTTTACTTAATTGATTTGATAACTCTATAAACAGTCCTGAAAGTTTCAAATTACCGGTAGGTGTAGAAGGAAAGAATGAAACAGGAATACTGTCCAAATGCTCATTTTTTAATTTTCCTGCACGACTGTCTAACATGCACAATTGAAAAGCAAGTCAACTTTTCCTTTAAAAATTTCCGTTTTCAGAGTTGTGTGAAATGTCATCTGTTCTCAGCTTCTTACAGTTTTCATAATTCAGGGTAATGGTAAAACATTGTTCAACTGATTTGTCAAATTTCTTCGGAAAAACTACGCTAATTATGTGCAAAATAAATTTCTGTAAAAGCTTCGCAGACACAGCAGCCTTTGCATTGTGCGCTTTAGCTGATTCTATTGTGTATCTATCAATTACATTTACATTTCAATTTATTCTCATCACTTGTCTGGTTGATATTGTATTGATACCGTAAGGAGAAATTCTGTCTTGGTCACTTGTGGGAGTTAAAGGGTTAAAGACATTCTCCACCGGAGAGGGATATGACATTAGAAATTGTTAATGTTATCTCGGACGCACTCTTTTTTGCAGTCGCTCACTGTTTCGAAGGTGGCCAGCCCAGATTCAGTTCGTAAAAGGGTTAGATGAACTGTAAGCTCAGCGGAGCTCTGTGTATTTTTAACCAAGTGCAGGGTTAAGTGGAGATGTCTGTTCATAGCTCGAAGGCTTCTCGTAAGTGCATATGACTCGAACTTTGTCTAAATTAGGCTTCGCTGAAATGTTATGCAATAAATTCCTCATTCAAATTTGTTTGTTTACTCTGATAATTTCTCTACCTATCGTTTTTGCGGATCAGCACTTTTCCCTTTATTTACTCAGCCGCTGTAGCATCAGTTCATCTTTTCACTGCACACCCTGGTACTACATTATATTATTTATTACCATGCTTTAATCTCAGAACCTCGCTTTTGTAAGGAGGACCATGATACGCAAAAGATAACTGCCGTGTGTATCTCTAACTAACTTCTGCTATCAATTAATCTTAAGTAACCTATACCTGTGAGGAAAAGTGACTTTGACCTCAAGTTTTACACTATGTCTTACTTATTTTGTGTTTTAAATTTTACTACTTAGGAAAGTCCTGGGTTTCAATGATGAATTTTTTTTTCCTGAGAAGCCCATTCTATACACTTTAAAATGACATATTGTAGGTGTTATTCCTGTAAATATTTGTTGAGATATGAATTAAAAACTGAATGTGGACAAATTGTGCGTTTTTAACTGCTGGTGTTGGGTTAAGGACTATCTTTCGCTGTCCTAGAGACAGACAACAACCAGCCAAAGCGACACGTCGAAGGGCATTTCATTGCCTCTATATGTGATCAAATTGTTGCGTTGCTTATTTTTCCCTTTGGTAACAAATTCTTTAATAGCTTCCGGGACAGTGGTTCGCCAAACGTAACTGAGAGGCGGAAAGAAAATCTTTTTCTTCTAATATACTCAATGATGAGCAAAAATTCTAAAAGTGTAAATAAATATATATCAGTAATCTAGTGTTTACTTACTCAATGTAACATAATCTCCACAGTAATCCCCAAAATCCTGTCACCAATTAATTTTCATCATTATCGTCGTTTTTACGTGTTGACAGAAAATAACAGAATTTTTAAAAAAATTGAAAGGGTAAGTATGTTCTTTTGAGTGTAGGTTTTGGTGGAGGGTTCGGGGTAAAATGTCAAGGTTTCAAAAAAAAGTCCAAATTGATTGATTAATTTATTTGTATGTTTATTTAGAACTCATAAATATATCATTACTTGTATCTCTTGATCGTAAGACAAAAATACCAGGATGTTAGCTCTCTCGTTTTCACTCTTCAGCACTTTCTCTCATTCTCCTATTTCACTTACGCATGTTTCAGTAAGTTATTCGTAATGCAGAATTTTAGACAGCGTTCTCCTTTCAAAATAATCTCTGTTGGAAGTCTTTTAATACTTCCGTTGAGAAGACCTTGCTCGGAGAAAGTTGCTAAAAATCCTCCCACGACTTCATGAACCTCTATATAACGTGGTCCTTGGTAGGAAGAGCGATATTCTTTGCCTCAGTAATACGAAAATCTATGATAAAGTACCTTGATATTTTAAGTCCCTTGGGCTCATAAAAGGAAACCCGCGAAGGCGAAGAGAAAAGAGTAGGAAATTTTGCGACCACAAGATACAAAATATGTTAATTTAAAACTATAAATACGTGATTCACAGAACTTCACGAAGTCAAACGTAGGAAACTTAAAGCGTTATAGACGAAATTTACATCGTACATATAAAAAAGCGGCGTTAAATTACGACTGCAACGCAGTTAGGGGGGAAGGGGAAGTGAGACACTGATAACTCACTGGTAGCTCGATATTTGCTCTTGTTGTGAAGCCCATGGTCCAAATCCCTTTTTTTATTTATTTATTTTTTCTCTAAAATACCTCAGCCGTCGAAATTCATCACCAAAAGGATCTCTTGACCGCTGAAACAGCCACCATAAATGACCAAATTTTGTTTTGCGTGATCCAGGCGCGAATGTCGACAAATTTATGAACCTCGCTGCGCTCGAGGAAAAATAAGTAATAATAAAGATTGAATAAATAAATCGTTGGCATGTTTTGGATTGGTTGGATTTTAAGGATTTTGATTGGTTGGATTTTAAGTACGTGCTCTTTTGCATAGTTGACTGATTACATGGATAACTCAAAATAAAAAGTGAAGGAGACTAGAGTTAATATATAAAGACACATGAAAAGGAAAATTCCCCATGATAGACCTAAATTTAGATATGAAACAAATGAAAACACAATGAAAGGCACCTATATTGTTTATGGTCGCTCCGATGTCTTCGAAAGAACGTAAGTCCGAAAGCGACTACAAGGATCAGAATAAAAATGGCCAGTAGCACCACAACAATCACAATCAGGTTAGGCTTGCTAGCATGTACATCGTCTGCCAAGGGACGGATATTCAGTGACAGTATTCCCAAACGTGACCCCTTCATTTCGATAAAATGTGTAGCTTCTGAAAGGCAAAATTATATTACAGATCAGATCGTAGGAGTTCAACGGCGTCAAAACACGGCGAAGCAGTTCAAGTGCTTTAATTGGTACTTTTCACATCGGATCTCTTCTGTTTGTGACATCTTTGAACAAAGAAAACATTGCAAATATTGTTGAAAATAGCTTTTCTTTCTTAGTTCTATGATTTCCAATAACTTTTAACAATTTCAAGTTTAATATCTCGCCGAAGAACAGCTTTGCTACACGACATCTCGAGCCCAAAAAAATTTTTAATTTTAGTCGATTCGAATGCCTTTTTGTATGTTACTTCACCTGCCCTGTTTGTCATTCAAATTAAAATGACAGTTGATAAAAAGCAAAAATTAAATCAATAAACGGAATGAAATGACTGGAAGGAAAAATCTTCCTTTCAGGTTTCCGTTTGGGAAACGCATTAAAGACATTTGGGGAAGAAATCCTTTTTACTCAAGGCAATCTTTATTTCTATATCTCTGAGTGATAATATCATTCAGTGAGCCACCATTGATTGAAATATCTATAAGTTAAATTACAGAGATGCAGTATATATATATATATATTTATATACACACATCATAAAACAGCTTTACAAATATAGTTTCAGCATGAGTAATTGGCAGTAATTAGCATAACTCCAGCACCAACTATCATAATTTATTCATTACATTTTACTTTAACTCATGAGGGGAAATCAAAATTTAGAGGGCTGAACCTTTTGTCAAAGAAATTTCAATAAGCCTTTGTTAGATCTGATACGGTTTTATGTTCGTTTGTAATCTTTCTGGGATTGTACTGAGAATCAGTTTCATATAATTTTAGGCTATTTGTCAGAGCTAGCCATCTAAATTTGTTTCTGTTTGTGCGGATACAAGTCTTCCACAGTCCGCAACTCCTGATCCCGGGCACATGATCATGAACGCCTATTTGAGGTTGTCACAGGTACTCCAACTTTGAATTTATTGCAAAAGCAACAGCATTTAGATTTTAAAAGTTTTACGATTTCGCCTTTGAGCTCTCTGTTGAAAACGCCATATATTATCGGGCTGATGGCGGTAGTGCTACCAACAACAATGCTATAAAACACGTAAACAAGGCGAGGGGCGAAATATTGGCCAAGAAATACTCCAGCTAAATCGATGACATAAAATGGCGTCCAGCAAATCGTGTAACTCAGTACGATAGCAAACAAAAGTTTTGTTACTTTAATTTCCTTCGCTGAAATTCCGCTGCCGCTTCCATTTCCACCTCCATGGTGTCTCAGTAATGCGTTGTGTTCTTTCACTCTTTGGTAAATCTTGAAATAACAACAAGAAATGATAAGATATGGAAGCTGAATGTTAAAGAAACCTGTCAAAAAAGCGTGCACCAGATTCAGCTTCGTCACATCAAAGATACAGACCCCCTTTCCGGGATGAAATTTAAACTTGTTGCCGAGAAGCATGTAAGACACAGGAAAATTTCCAGCCAAGATCCATGACACAGCGATCGATATATAAGCGTTCCTCTTTGTAAAGTACTTGCGATGAAGGTTCGATTTTACCATGAGGAAATATCGATTTATTGCAATTAAGGCCATGGAATAAATGGAACCTGTGGCTAACATGGCAGTAATGAATCCTACAAATTGGCAGATAGCGTCACCAAATGTCGGCGTTCCTTTTAATACTACTTCGGGGATGAAAATCCAGATGGATAATGACAACAATAACTCCATCGCACTCAGAGAAGCTACGTAAAAGTTAGAGATAGTTCTTAGCGATGGATTCAGGCTTATGACCTGGAGAACAAGAAAATTCCCGCAGACGCCGATTAAACCTACTAGCAGAAACAGAACCAGTTCTGTGAAAATCTCGGCTTTTGTTCTCGTTGCTAACTGCAACGTGAACATTTTAGTTCGATTTAGCTGAGCTTCGTTGTCTGCAAACATCTCAGTTGGATTCTCCTTTTCTTTTACCAGCCGGGCAAACTATTGAACAAGACTGAGATAAAACATTGATAAACGTTATATAAAATATGCAAAGTGTTTCGAGCCATAAGTTACGACAAATGCCTTTAACTTGAAATATATAGAAAATTCGTCGTCAGAGAGGAAGAGCCAGGCAATGATTGACTGAGGGAGCGCAATATTGGCATGAAATGGATATTTTATGAAACGGATTTTAAAATGTCAAACACAGGAATTCAGGAAAAAGTTTTCTAGAAGAGCAAACCTTTAGTGAGCGAGGATGCCAGCTGTCTTTTGTAAGAAACCCTATGCGTGAACTCTTTACGCCTCAGGGGTTATGATCTTGGGTTGTTTGCTCATACCTAAATTTAATCACAAAAACAATGACTTAGCGCAACAAGGAACTTAACGCCAATTGTACACGAAGTTAAGGACTATAATTTGCAAGATCATTCACAGAGAAGGACATGACTAAAGCTGTCAGCTGATAGAATCAATTGATTGTGAACTGCCTCTTCCCCAAATGTCTTCTCCAAGTTGTCCATAATAAATGCGACAGTTAGCATAAATATGTTTTATTTTTCTTTTTCAGTTCTACCTTGGACAGACTACACGCTACTGTCATGCGATTACTATTGTTTTAGGGACGCACAATGGGATCGGAGCAAATTTTTTTCCTTGATATAATTTTTTCTTTCACGTCAATCTGATTGTTCGTCTGTACTTTAAATGACTGGTCGGGAAATGGCCAGACTATGTCATGAGTATTCCGTGAAGTGCGCAAAGTAGTTTTCCTTTCTACGTTTCCTTTTTCTTTTCGTTGATGATTCGCTTGCTCTTTAATTTAAGTTACTTTCAATTAAACTTAGATCCTGGAAGTGTTTCCGTTAAGTCTTGGGGAACATTACATTTGATCAAATTTTCATTAAGATTTAAGAGATACGTCAAAATGAAAATATGAAATCCTTTGATTAGCGAGGGTTCTTCGGGAATAGTGAACCCTTGAAAGAGTTATCAACGTACTTTTCTCCTCAAAATAACGACCAAATTTTCATCGTACCAGTTTAGACAAGCAAATCACAGCGCAAAATATAATGTATATGACATCAAAAGGTTTTCCAGAAACATGTCACTTACCTCAATCGGTTCTTTTAACAGAGGACGTCCTTCGATATCGTTGAACAGTGAAAAGATTGCTTACTTTTTGGTCAATAACTTCACTTTAATAGAACCATGGATTTCATCAATTTTTGATGACTTTGAGTTAAAATTCACTCGCTGAACAACAGCTTTCGCTGCGTGAGATCGCTAATCGAAGTACAAGTAATTAATTCGAAACTAAGTTTATTTCACCTGTCGAACATGATTCAAATAGTGCTGACAGTTGGTAAACATGGATGAGAAAACAATTGAGGAAACGAATTAGTTGAAATGGAAATCTAGGTTCAGGTTTCCCCCTGTTTTATAGCTACGATTTACTAAGAGTTTCAATATTCTTTTGTTATTTTATTCTTATATTTCGACTCAGTCGAGGAACAGTTCTTTCTTGCTTAAAGTAATTTATAATTTTAATTTTTCCCTTTTCTTTACCTCTTAACATAGTTACATGATTCACTTAGCTTTCATCAATAGAAATTAGTGGAAGTTGTATTAAATAGATTCAATATGCACAGTCACAGAGTACTTTACCTCGCGGATATAGTTTCAGTACAGACAATTTTAATCGCTATTTGCATAATAAGAACGGCCCACTGTAATGTTTTATTCATCACACACAAATTTCTCTGAATCAGGGGAAATGAAATAATTACACAAAAAAAGCTTGCGAAAAAACACATTAATTAAGAGTCATATTGTTTGTTAATAACTGTCCAATTTTGCATCCGTCAACATTTTTTTTAAAGATCGAGGCCGAGGCTGATTATTTTTTATCCGACATCTTAGTTTCTTTAGTTCTGGGTTGGGTACTTTCGCTCAACGTGGCAGTATTAAATTGTTTTTCCTGTTGCCTAACTTAACAATCCTGTTTAACTCCGTTTTAAACTCGCGGTTGAAAAACGCATAAACGACAGGATTCACAGCGCTGTTGACGCCAACCATGTATGAATATAGCTGGTAGACTTGACGAGGGAAACTGTACTTTCCAGTAAACAACTCTGTGGTGTCAACAATCAACACTGGAAGCCAACACAAAACGTAAAAGACAACAACAATGAACAGAAGTCTTGTAACGTTTAGATCTTTGGCAGAAATCCTTGGAGAGTTATTGGGTCTGTTATTCAGATTAGCTTTGTGTTTCCGAATTGTTAGAAATATCCTGAAATAACTGGAAGAGATTATGCTAAACGTAAACAAGGCGAATGTCATATTCAAGGCGAGCCCCTCTGCAACACTGACGTCATCGAGGTCATAAATGCAACAGAACTTTCCCGGATGGTAGCGGAAGTTTCCTTTCAACAGGAAGTAAATTGGCCAGACGAAGGCGGCTAGCCAGGCGAGTGACAAAGAAGTCAACACTGATTTCACTTTGAAATACTCTCTGTATAGGTTAGGCCGTACAACTTTGAAATAACGATTTACAGAAGTTAAAGTCAGAATGAAAAGCGACGCTGATCCTAGCGTTGTAGCAGTGTAACCGTGATACGAACATGACGCTTCGCTGTAAGGCCAGCGACCCGCGATCAAAACGCTTAAGGACAGCGGCATAACGAGGAATGACATGAGCACATCGGTCAAAGCCAAGGCCGTAATGTAGTAATTTGGCGTGGTGCGCAGGCGTGGATTTCGCTTGACTGCCCATAAAACCAATGCGTTGCCTAGAAACGCAATCAGCATCACTATCACCATAGGAAAGCTCTCGAAAGTAATCTGTAACCACCCTCTGTGCAAAAGGGAACGCGCCATTTGGAGCGACTGTGAAGAGAGATTGACTGGAACGGGCATTGTAATCTTTCCTAGGCTGCCTCGTGTAAAAAACGTGATTTGTGCAACGGCGGTTGGAAAAAAACGTTTTCTGTGCACTGGTGTAGTAAAAAAAATTGTGATTCTCAGCTAGCTACAAAAAAGTCATGATGAAAATAGAAATAATGAAAAAAAAAAAGAATGAGCCGTGAGACCAGATTATGAATCAAGACTTACAATAGATGTATAAGGATTTATAAGGAGGACCTCCACGATTTAACTGGTTTATCTTTAAATTGAAATCTTTAATTCATAGCATAGATACAATACCTCAAAGAAATATGGCTTGATAATATCAAAGAGGAACCTTTGAAACCTAAACAAAAGATCCAGGCGGATTCCCGATTTCGGGAAAATTTTGTCTCAGTTTCTACATGCTCAGTATCTTTGAATATGTCCTATACCCAAAGCTATCATGCAGTCTAAAAGCTTACCGATCTAAATGTATTAATTCCTCTTTTTATTTTAAAACTCTAAGTAAACCATACTATTCTTTGGTCTTACAACTCATCTCAGACGATAATGTTTAAATAATCTTAGCTTACGACAAGGAGACCAATTCTTACGCGATTCAGAATTTCAAAGAGATCAAGAATAAAATCTTTGTCACCTTTGCCCCCTTCCTATGTATTTCAAATGCGGAGAAGCTGATATTTCCATGCTACCAAAGTGAACACTTTACTTACCTTTGCAGCTCCGTCGTCTAAAACTTAGACATCCTATCTTTTCCAATGCGACAAAAATAATAGTTCCACAGATTTAAAACAATCAGTGTGATGGCTCCAGGGTTCCATTCAGTTAATTGAAATCTTGGTACCTATAAATAGCGTTTTTTTGGTAACAGCTTAACTACTTTCTCGTAATTCAAATGAGTTTTGCTATTGTAAATACCATGTCATTTATTAGAAACCTCGAGCTCGCCATGTGGTGACCGCGAATATTCATGAAAAGTCAAGATTGTTCAAACTTGTTTGATTTTAATTTTAAACCACAACAGATTCACCCAAAAGTTTTCAGTCCTACATCAAATACGCTTTCAGTAAGTCTTTGCAAGTCGACCTGTTCAATTTGGCCATTTGAACTGTAAATTACAAAACAAAAACCGTGCACTTATCATCGATGGAAGTGAATAATACTTTCTTTAAGATCACTAAATGGTTTTGAAGAAAAACTTGTCGCGACAGTCATTGAACTTGAGCTTTTTTGCCAAACCAGTAACGTTTTTTTTTTCAAAAGTGCACATGCACTTTTTCTTCTTAAGCGCTCTCTAATTGACAGGTGTCAGATTGTGACTGATACTTGTAAAAAAAGTTTCAAAGTTAGTTTGGAAGCCTTTTAAATCACTTTTATCGCTATACAAATAAAAATATTCCGGTGAAATCTCTCTCTTAATCTGTATTATCTCAGTTAGCAACCATTTACTCGCTCAAAAATTGTTCAGTTTACGGAGAATCTTGCCGTAATTACAGCCCTAAGTTATCCAGGTTATTTTGGCAGGAATTTAGTGAAGTTATAAATAAAAATAAAAACGTTATTCATCAGCTTAGGTCCGGGTCCGTATTGGGAAAAATTGCGCCCTCTGTCTTGAGTACCGCCCTCGGCTTCCTGCTTCGTGCAGTACTTAAGGCACAGTTTTTCCCAATACGGACCTCCCGACTGGCGAATAACATATATATATGTTTTGAAATCGCTGTTGATCCCTGTAATCTAATTGGCTTTCAGCAGTGCCATTTATTTACGAATCGTATTATCTTTTGCTCAAAGTTGCATCTTTTTTTTCTAGTCAAAGAGAAATCAAGCATCACCAAAACAAATCCACCAATCAGATTCCGAGGTTTGTTTAAAGTAGAAGAGATGTCAATATGTGGAAATTTTAGATTTCCGGTTCGCTTCTCGCGAAAAAGCGTAACGAAAAGGTAACATTTTTTTAAGATGTTGCAAATCTTGCCAATGGAAGATATTTGAACTTATTAGCAATGCAAAAAATTTGGGAGTTCTTGTCTCGTTTCGTGAAATGTATTTGAATTGAAGTCAAATCAAAAGCTTGACGTAAAGTTGTCAACAGATTTTTGACGTAAAATATGTCACTATGGTTTTCGTGTGACAGCATGCGCATTCTCGCACTAATTTAAAACTTCTATGGCCTGGATAACGCGCGCTTGACATCATAAAGACCAACGGTTCAAGGGAAAAACAACCGAAAGCCTGTGGAGGTGTCCTCTAAACGAGTTATGGGGCGAATGCACGTAATATAACATATTTTTTGAATAAAGTTCTCAACCAGTCGATCTTAGCTCACCTTTGCCTTCTTGTTAACGCTTCAGTCGTATCCCATTTCTGACCAATTACAAATTTTTAGCAGATTTTTGGCAAACCTTACTCGAGCAACAGCAACCGGGATATGACCCCGTCTCGCCATCCGGTAACGTGCGTCGCTTTTGCACATGAAGCTCCATGAAGCTGTGAGGGACCTTTAGCAGTTAGGACAGCAACGCTAAGGGAGACGTTGATTTTAAAATGAATTTATATTCTTAGTTGAAATCTCGCGAATTACTGGATGTGTTTATTGGGGCCACAAGTTAATCTCAGCATATCGTATGAGAGCGGCGTGGAGTACTAAATGGAAACTTAAATAATTAGCCGTCGGGTTCCCTCTTTGCGACTACGCAAATTTTGATGATTTCACTTTGTTGTTTTGCAGAGGACGACTAAGAAATGTACAAAGTTTTAAAACGCACGTGCTGAGCTATCGTTCTGCTGCTCATTACATCTTTTGTTTTGCCACGTCCTCGTTGCCGTCGCCGTGATATGACGTCTTGCGCGCGGAGAAGGCGTGCCGATGACACTTGTACGTGTAAGTAATAATATGACTTCGAGAGCAATTTGGCGTTATCAATTAAGTGTAAATTTTTCAAAGACAACAAAATTGCACAAGTCCGTAAGGCGAGTGCAATTTGTAGCTAAAAATATTTATATAAAAAGGAGGCAAAACCACGAGATAATTTCTGTCTCAGGGACCACAATCTCTTTTATGCGATAATTCCATTTCTACAGGGCCAGTGTTCATGGCGCTCAAAGGGGAAAAGTTACGGATGGTTTAAAATAAGCTTTGTTTGCATTTGGTAGTAATCTCGTACCCAGATCTTCGCTTCGCCCACAAAAGAGATCTGGGTACGAGGTTTAATCTGGATATTATGATTATTAACTTTATTTTTGGACCACTCGGCGGATTTTTTTTGTGTGTGTAAATGGATTCGTTTCTACTATCTCTGAGTTTGGGCTATGTGCCATTTTCTTCCCTCTCTCCCTTTTTTTTCAGTTTGATTGCCTTTCATCAGAAATCTAAATATCCAAATATAGTGATTTACCATTGCGTCATACTACTGTGCGCATGTACTTTCCCAGTCGGTTGCCAACATGGCGGCTCGGCGAACGGGATTACTGCTATTCCAACGATGTAATTTTTGTTCGAGAGAAACACTCAAGCGAAGATTTGGCTCTACTGTGTGCAGTTTTTCAAGAATTGGAAATAATTTACTGGTTGCGTCACGTAGAAATGGAATTTTCTTTTTGTCGGGTGAGAACTTGCTTCCGTATATCAGCTGACATAACACAACTTTTTCGAAAACAACCTTACATAATCGTTTTAACTGCTTTGTCACCTCTATCCTCAGCGTCTTCGCGCAAGATTAACCCCTCATTTTTGGGAGCGATTTCGTCTCATAGAGAATTTCACACGTCAGGTTAGTAAAACAAATATTATCAGACAGATTTCACCGGTGATATTTTGCGACGATCGCAATTTCAACCCACGTGTTCTTGCTATGTGAAATATTGGAAATGCCGGTATGAGTTAAATTTTTGAATGATCTTTTTGATGTCGCTTCTTATTTGAATATAATTTGGTGATAGCTACGTATGAATCGAGAAGAAAGATGGTAACAATTTTTTACTTTAGTCCAGTACAAAAAAATTGCGTTTACCATACTGTCCTGAGTGTTTCCATCAGCAATGACGTTTGCGAAATATTCTGTTATTGTTTTTGTCTTGAAACCTTTTTTCTCCACAGATCCAACTTACAAGAAAGATTACTACAAAATTCTTGGAGTACCACGTAATGCAGACCAAAAGGAAATAAAAAAGGCGTACTTTAATGTGAGTACATGTACACTTCGTGCTACATAGGTGTTGACACACCTTTGGATCGACATTTCAACATGATTCTTATCGTATCTGGCAAAAAGAAAGAGTCGAGAAATCCTGATACCTTTCCTATTGTAACTTTAGTAAGATGCTCTGATCAACAGAATTTTACCACCTTTGTCATCTTTTCAAAACACCAACATGAACATTCTCTAAACACATTGACACTTGTCAGGACCTTTAATAAAAGGCAAATAATCTGTAGCATGCATGAGCTGCAACAATAAGGGAAGAATTTACAGATGATAGGAAAGTGGTGGAGAGAAAAGGGTTTCTCCACACATTTCCAGAGAAGAAGGTAAAGGAGGAGGAACTTCACTTGAAATTAAAGATGTGGACTATTCAGATACTAGCACTACATCACACTTACTTTTCTCCTATAACTAGTCCTATTTATTCTCATTAACCCTTTACACCCTAACATCAGTATATATATTCTCCATACTGTTCTTTATACATTTCCTGTGGTATTGACAAGGAGGAATTGTTTATCAATCAAGATATTCCTGAAAAGGTTAATTATTTCCCACATAATGTATGGATAAATTATATTTTAGTTACTCTGAAGAGTTTAAACCAACAGTAGATGCAATGAAGTAAGCATGTGTTTTTCACCTTATGATTCAAGCCTGTGTACCAACTGAGCATGTTTTTTTTTATTATTATTAATTTATTTCTTTTGCATCCAGAGTTACACACATTGCTTAACATCCACTTTCCTCTTTCAGTTGGCAAAGAAATACCACCCGGATACAAATAAAGGTGCTGATGCAGCTGAAAAGTTTCAGGAAATAAGTGAAGCATATGAGGTATGTCACTGGTAATATTCTATGGGACATAATTTTTTTTGTATTTGACTACAAATTTTTTAAATATTGATGACATTTTGCCAAAAAAAACTTCCTTCATCATGCCTGGTCTCTTTGCTTGAATACACCATGTCAAGATATTGTAAGGGTTTTAGTTATTGCCTGTGAATCTTTCCTTTACTGTGTGGGAAACATCACTTTTGAAAATTTAAATGGGAAAAAAGATTTTTAAAAAAGGACAAAAGGATAAGAGTGGTGAAGGATGCAGATCAGAGACATGAAATAAAAAAGGCTAGATATTTTTGAGCTCTCCAAACACTTCCTGCTAAAGCTGATAGGTGACAGACTTTTGCTTAACTGATAAAGAAGTAAAGAGAGTCAAAGTTCTTTCATGACCAGATGCTGTCACTATTACAGTGAGAAGAAAACTGTATTTTACGGTTCTGTTGTGACTTGTAAATTTTTCTCATAAATCCACATTCTCCACAGGTTCTGAGTGATGACAACAAAAGGAGTACCTATGACAATTTTGGAACTACAGATTTTAGTGGTGCTGCAGGTAAACAGTCTTTGTGGTGGTACATTTATAACCATTTGGTTTCTTGATATGTTAGTTTTTCATTTTGATTAATTAGCAGCTCTTTTACAGTTAAAAGCTTGGAAATTTCACTTAGCAATTTTGTCCTTTTAAGTTAAATGTAGTAGAGGAAAATACTGACCTTGGTGGTTGAAATTTTCTCTTCTAGGTGGTAACCCATATGGTGGTGGAAATCCTTTTGGTGAAGGCATTGACCCAGAAGATATCCTAAAAAACTTCTTTCGTGGAGGAGACAATCCCTTTGGCTTTGGGACCAGAAGTGGAGGATATGGCTCTGACTTTCAAGAAATCCAGCAGGTCAGACATTCAAAAACTAAACAATTTTGCCTCTTTTTTACCCCCCTTTTACCCCCCATTTATTTTCATTACTTATTCCTATTATAACATATTGAAAGTTAGCAGCAGTTAAGTGTCACCCTGACACCATTGTCAAGGTAACCAAACAACTTATTAACCCTTTAACTCCCATGACTGATCAACACAGAATTTCTCCTTACAATGTCAATACAATATCAACCAGATATGAGATGAGAATAAAGAAAACCATCAATTTGGGTATAATTAGGTGATTGAATACTAAATTCTCAGAACTAGCATTATAAGAATTGTATGGTTGACAGTAAGGAGAATTACGAATTTGATCTAGGAGTGAAAGGGTTAAAGGCTTTGCACTTCTGGTTTCAACTATATAGTTACCTTCTGTTCAATATTTTTCTCAGTTACTTGGAAGATTGCATCGTGATGATATTGGAATGTCATTCACTTTCATTAGTTTTTATCAGTCAGTGAATTTTGAAATTCACATGTTGTGTTTCATTTGGGAATTGTCCAGGAAATATAACTGCATTTTATTTCATAATGTTATTTACATTTTTGCTTCAGCATGTTTTAAACCTGTCTTTCATGGATGCTGCCAAGGGTTGCAATAAAGATATTACAACAAGAACAAAAGTAGTATGTAACAGATGCAATGGCAAACGAGCAGAACCTGGAACTACTTATTCGCAATGTCCCACTTGTAAAGGAACTGGAGAAGTAAGAATTGTTCATCTCTGTTGCTCTTTGCTCTTTACATTAGTGTGAGATCTTGAATTATTTTTTGTACTGTAAATGGTTTCAATTGGAGGGTAACATTTGATTGCATAGTGTGATTTTCTTGATGGGGTATCCCAGAGAAGGATAGTTTTTTGCAGTGGCAACTGATGTCTCAACAACCTTGGCTGAAGTTGTGATGGTCTCGACTCTGAGGATGACTTCCTCTGACGTTGTTGAAATGCCAGTTACTTTTACTGCCAGCAATCCTTTTCAGGAGTACATGTACCTCCAGCTGGATAATCAGAGTAAAGGATCACAGGTATCTATTCAAGATAGCAGAAGCATAAACCATGTTAATTTGTTTTCAGGAAACAGTTAACACAGGATTCTTTCACATGAGATCAACCTGCCGGCGCTGTGGCGGCCAGGGTGTTTTTATTAGCTCACCATGCAAGAAGTGTAATGGAAAAGGAAGAGTGAATGAGACCAAGACAATTACCATCCCAATTCCTGCAGGTATGTAAATTGATAAAATGTTGTATTCTCCCAACCACGATAAAAATTTAAGAGATAATTTATGCAGCTGTTCATCAAACCTTTAACTCCCAGAAGTTATTAACAATTCAGCAGATTGGTTGGTGTGTGGATAACAATTTTTTTGATGGACAGCTCTATCCATTCTTAGGATTTGAACAATTGTGAGGAGGTTTTGTTACAAAGATGGCTAGTCAATTTTGTGAAAATGTAGTCATCATTTTAATACTTTTTTAACTTGCAGGAGTTGAAGATGGGCAAACTGTCAGGGTGCCAGTTGAAGCTGGAGAAATATTTGTAACATTTAAGGTTTGTGGAAAAAATCAATCTATCAGTGTGTTCAAATTTTGGTGTGTCAGTAAGTGTAGATATGAAAGTAAATTAAATTTTTTTTACCCAGGATAACTGTTGAATCTTTTTTTGGCATATGTTTGGCTTGTGTTCATAGGTCAGTGAGAGTAAAGTGTTTGAAAGAGAAGGAGCAAATGTTAGTTCAACAGTGACAATCAGCTTTACACAGGTAATGTACATGTACCTCATCATCTTTGCATTCTCAAACTTGTTGAAGCACTGTGTGCATAGTGAAAATAATATCAAACCTCCACAAGGGGTGATTTGCATCTCTCTACAAGGAAAACAGAAACTAAAGCATCTCATTGGTCTTAAAACCAGCTCATAAAGCCCAGTTCATTGACAGATTAGTGCTTTATTTAATGTGTCAGTTCACAAGTGGGGTCAAAATTTGGTAAAACCGAAAAAAGTAGCACATGAGGTGCAACTGAGTGTTTCAGTGATGTTCCAAACATATTTTGACATCTCCTGTGATGTATTTCTGCTCAGACCCACAGCAACATGGAATGTATTTGTTTAATATGATAAAAAAGCAAAATGTTGTTAATGGTGACATCTGTGCATCTGTCCTCCAATAGATCATAATTCAGTCATATTGTGCTACTACAACTCATTTTGGCGTGCACTTGACATTGGCCAGTTTTTTTAAATATCTCTGTTATTTATCTCTAGGCCATTCTGGGAGGCACGATACGTTCTCCCGGTATTCATGGAGAGATTGAAATCAAGGTGGGTGTAAGTTACACAGTCAAGGATATCTCAATAGCAGATTGATGTTTTGAAAGACTCCAGGGCCTTCTGTTTCTAGGAAGATTCAGGCTTCAGTGGGAAATTCTGGAGTTCTAGACCCTGTAGTTCCATTTTCCTGGTTTTTGAGGTCTAATACAATCCATGTGGCTTTGTTGTTCCAAGAAGAAAACCATTTTGAACAAAATGATTTGAAGAGATTCACAAGTATGTTTTAAAGTGCAATGATGTTAGCATAAAGAATACAAGATAACCAGCTTATTACAAGGGTGTAGATCACTCACTATGTGGGTGCTCACCAAGCCCCTAGCCTTGCCAACCACTCCTTTCCCCCTTTGTAGTGTTTTGTCTGATTCTTTTTTGTTTTTTCCCTTAGATCCCTCCTGGTACTCAGTCTCACCAGAAGCTCCGTCTGTCAGGGCGTGGCATTCAAAGATTAAACGGCGTTGGCAAAGGAGACCATTTTGTGAATTTTAAAATACATATACCCAAGTAAGTCAGATTGAAGCTTGTAGGACATTGATTTCTACATTTTCCCCTACATGAGTAGGAGACAGAGGGGCAATATGCTAAGCACACTTGACTCTGTTATACTTGCTCTGGTGAAAGCTCAGGTTAGGTAATTCTGTTGTTTGTGTTCTTGAACAGGACACTTTCTCAGTGCTTTCTGGCAAACAAGGGTATGAATGGGTACCAGCAAAGTGTTAGAGAGAGACTAATGGCCACTCACGTTGAGCTGGCATCCTATTTCAGCAGAGACGCAATGCTATGGATGTCTTTCATAGGAAGACAGAAGCAATTATTCTTAACAAGGGCCAGATGTTTGGACGTGTGTTATTAACCCTTTGTATCCTAACATCAGTATGCACATTCTCCATACTGGTCTCTTTCCATTTCTTAACCCTTGAACTCCCAAGATCTGGTTGTTAATTCTCCCCTGCAGCTGTTAGACATTTCCTGGTGAATTAGTCAGGAGAATTTGGTGTCATACCATAATGATGACTTCTACCTGATAATTTTGAGTATTCTCATTACCTGATTGCTGGCTGTATGGATATTATAGGGAGAAGTTTTATGTGAATCACTTCTGGGAATTGAAGGGTTAAGGTGCTGACAAGGAGAATTTGTTTAACAATCAAGAGCCTCTCTCATTGATGATCATTTCCGTTATATCCTCATGGCCTTAATGTGTGATTCAGGGATGATGTTGTGAGGAGAAATTCAGTGCTAGTCATTCTTAGGGGGTTAACGTTGAATAAACGGTGCTTTTTCCTCAGATACCTAAATGAGAAGCAAAAGGCTTTAGTGTTAGCATATGCCGAGCTTGAGGATGAAGTCAGTGGTACAGTAAATGGAGTCGATAAATCAGCAAAAGGTGGGTAATTTATTTTAAATCTAAGTCAATGGGCAGCCTAAGTGTACAGTCACATCTCTCTCTCTCTCTCATCCTCTTCCCTGCATTTTGAATTCTCTAGCAGAAATTTTAAATGCAATGCCACTTTATCAGGGTATAAATTGGCAACATCAAGGTGTGAGGAGGCAGTTGAGTTTCACTATCACGTATTTTCCCATTGTTTTTATGTTTGGTTTTTTGTTTTAATTGTTTTGTGTCGGTTTTTTTTTTCTTTGAGTGGAACTCGTTTATTTGTGATAACTATCTACCACGGTACACTTGTAGCAGAGTTTTAGTTAGGTGTGTCGCTTTATTTGAAGCTCATGTATAGGACTACGATGAAAAAGTTCCATTGAAATGTAATCAAAACGGGACGATGAAGAACGAAGTAATGATCGTTTAAGTTTGAATTGATTTTTTTTTTTTTTTATCAAAATACCTCTTTCGGGAAATTCTCATAATTTAAGTTAACATGACATATTGTCACAGTGTGAGTTTTCAAAACAAGGTTTCACAATGAAAGTTTGCGTGACTAGTTTCCACAACATTTGAGTTTGCGAGGCTAAGTGCCGTGACTACAGTGACAAGGGTACACAAATGGAGCTTTCGTGACATTGCGTCTCGAAGCTTGTATGACGTTCGTGTCCCTCCATCACACAGACGCCCCACCCAGCCAAACTTGGCAGGCGTATGAAACACCCACCGGTGGAAAGACGGCGAATGAGATTGATCTCGAAGAAGTCGTCAAAAAGAAGCGCCCCTTGGGTCGGTTTATGCCTGACGGATCATGGGATGACGAAGACCCGGAAGGCAGAGCTCGACTCGCGAGACGGCAGTTTTTGAGAATAGCGATGGTCGCATCGTTCACTATAGCTGCCTATCTGTTTATGCAAATCATCTTGCTGGGGGTTGAAGCCCGCGAGTTTGATTCTGAGAACGCTTATTGTGACAATTTAGAAAATGAAAGTTGACAATACAGTAGTAAAGGGATAAATATTTGTAAATCTAATTTGTTAAATTTTAAGGGGTTTGATAGTAATAAGTAGATGTACCGAGGAGGAATTGAGGAGCCAGGAAGTGTGAATGTGACAAAGTGTTTAAAATCCCCGATCAGGCTCTCTTGTTTCCTCCTCTTATTTTTGTCCCCTTTGCTTTGTTGTATTGGAAACAGTTACGCTATGTAATATCCTGGTGGAATAACGCTCCACTTGAGAGGTCATCACCCAACAGCTGCTTCGCTTTCCCGCTGTGCAACAGTTTAAGAAGCATTTGCGAGCGACATTCAAAGCTTTGAATTTAGTTACCCAAGCGAATTAGGATTTTAACACCAAGTCACTAACTCTCCTTTTTTTTGGCTCTTCAATTTCTCCAGACCAAGGAACAAAGACGACTGCTGAAGATGATAGCGGATTGCTAGGACGCTTGAAAAAAGCATTCTGCGGAGACGATGACGAAGATGATGACGACAAAGATAACAGGCGTCAGGGAAAGGCGTGACAACGCATGCGCACCCTGCTAAAAGTGTTGCGCAAATTGCACGAACTGTCCACTGTTTTTTTTAGTAAATCGTCATTATTACTCTCTTTTTTATGGTTCAAGGATATGCCAGGCAGTGCATCACTGCCTTCGAAGGTAAGGCGTAGGATTTCTGTCTCAAAAATCTGCTCTGCGAGTCAAATTATTTCCTAGGACGTTGCAATTCACGCGAATAATTTTTTTTGGACGTCGTAATATTAAATGTATTTATACAGGCGGAAGGCGTTGCCAATCCTACAAGGTTTTATAGACCTTTTAAGCAAAAGAAATATAAGAATGGCTTGTCTTAAATCGCACTGTAGTTTAAATTATGAATGCACACCAATCTATTTGCGTTTTGTTTATTTGTTTGTGTGATTGTTTCTTTCACCACGTAATATTAAAGGTAGCCGCTTTTTGAAATTTTTTGTATTTTGCGTGTTACTTAGAATTAAATTCCTCTTTTGTCAAACATTCTGAGAAGGATTTCTTCATTTCTCTTAGCGTCTGCTCCATTGAGATCAGGAGTTTTTCCCTAAGAATCAGATTTTTGAAAATGGTTTATTTTCTGATGTGATGACAAAGTAGTAAAAAAAATTTCTAACTTTTTTTCTAGCAAAGGTTACTTTATGATATAGTTCTAGTACTGCACTTGAGAAGATCTTATTTCCCGCTAACACAAGTTATAGATTCGGGCTTAGGTGAAGTCTAACTAGGGCAACTTTAGAACCGATAACATTTCTCTGAAATAAAAAATTGTTTGGTTCATACGCTTAACCTACCGTTCCATGTATTCCTACGGCGGTTTTTCGAGCAGTTGGTTCTCATTCGATTGTTTTTTGCTAAGTTGCATCCTTAGAAAGTTAAAGCGCGTTGCCGTTACACTAATCATTTTTTTGCGCATATTGATAAAAATTTTATGTATTTCTTATGACGACTCTTAAACCATTGATTTTAAACTTTGAACGTTTCAGAAATAGCTTTTGTCTCGTCGACTGAAACTATTAATTGAAAATCGAAAACTAGAAGGCTGATTCTCAAAAATTTCGCCCTAGCCTTGTCCATAGCGGAAGTTTCCTGTTGCTTTCTAGACGTCTGGAGCTGACTTAAGAGAAATTCTCTGTGAGAGGTTCATGGACGAGACGTTTGACTATTTTGTTAACCCTCGTTACCCTGGGCACACGTTTTATCTAACGAAAACTCCAAAATATGGGGGAAATGTTCAATTGGGTATGGAAAGTAAAATAGGATTGCACTGATTTTGCGTTTTTTCGCTCTATGGCTGGTTTAGAGACTAAACCAATTAACTTAACCAATCTGATGCAAAACTAGAGCAGTTTTCAATTGACTGTCGGAAAACCAAAACAATACAAATCACAACAGCCAATCATAACCAAGGTTACGTCATCATTAGCCAATGAGGACTCAAGGCAAAAACAGACAACTTACCAAAGCGCGGGAAGACTTGACGACCAAGTCACGGTTGGTTTTCTCGTCTGATTGGTTGAGAGAGTGGTGTGAGTTTTCGCGACCAATCACAGAGGGAAGTAAAGCAAACCAAAGCAATCCGGGTTAATTTCGACACTCGATGGAGAATAACTCTTAAAAAACCAATCCAGATTTAGAGACTTGCGCTTTGTCTTAACCCTTTAACTCCCAAGATTTCATTAGTAATTCTCCTTACTGTCTGCCATACAGTTCTTGTGATATTAGTTTGGAGAATTTGGTATTGGATCAACTTATAATACCATAATTGATATTTTTCTTTATTCTCATAACTTGTCCGCTTGATATTATATTGATATTGTGAGGAGAAATTCTGTCTTGGTCACTCATGGAAGTTAAAGGGTTAACTGTCTGTTCTCATAAGCTCCTTGTCAAGTATTTGTTTTGATTGGCTGCTACGATCGCCTTAATTTTCGTTTTACTATACTTAATTTATAGGAAAGAAACATCGTTGAAAAAAAATTCGTGCCCAATGTAGAAAACTTAAAAAGGATTAAGCCGGCTTATACAAAAATAAACAAAAAAGCTGTTATATTTTAACAACTAACAGATCATCGAATTGATATACTCCTAAACTTTCCCTTATCAGAAATTCTAAGCTTGGCTTTATCCTTTTTCTTTTTCTCGGCTTCGGCAATCCATCTGCAGATGTAGTATTTCTCCAAATTTCGCGCCTGCACGACTGACGGAGGGTCCAGCGGGTTTTTATGTCTCAAGTCCAAGTGATGGGCGCCATCTTCAATCAGCACAGAAATGAGGCTGTCGCTTATGTTACGGGTAACCCCGCCTGCAGCCCAGGGATCAAGGGCACCGTTACTATGATGGGACAAAATGAAAGCAAAAATTCGTTATGTGATTAGTCCTTAGGTATCTCTCGTTAGCAGAAATAAACTGAAAAGAGTTCCCTCTTTGCGAGTTTTGCGCTTTAACGGTGGGGTTGTCAACACAGAGGTCAAACGTCTGCGCATACGTTAACATTGTAATGACTGAGTGGCTCCTACTAAGTGGAGATTAGCTCTGATCCGTTTAGAAAAGATCTTGTTTTATGCACCATTCAATATCTTAGACGAGAATATGAAAACTCATATCAAGAAAAAGATAATCATTAACTTACCTGAACACTATATTACTGTGAGCTTTTAGTTTCTTGCCACCATACTGAATCTCGGCCCAGTACTCCAACGGTGTCACGCCACGTGACTTCTGGCAATCTTTGGCATAAGCATTGAAATCCCACTGATGGATGAGAAACAAATCACAATTATTGGAAGGTAGTTAAGTCTGCATTAGGAGATTAAGTTTGTGCTGGTCTGTCTCTCTAGCGTGTAGTAACCAGGAAGTTGGGGTATTACTATTTCCCACGACGGAATGCTAACCAGTCCATTGCAAATCATCCCCCTCTCACTCCATCCTCTGGAACCAAAGCGTTCGCCTGAGACTTCTCTTGGACCATCTTGCTGCGTTTACCACTTTGTTGGAATAATGAGATGTTATTCTAAGGTATATTTATTTTCAGTTATGCAAGTGTGTTGTATACTTGCCTCTGACTTGGTAAACATATCATTGACGCCGTCTGAACAGAGAGGCATGACCATCTCGGTACAAGCCTAAATCGAAACATAAATCATCCAGTCAACTTAACTTAGAGGACACTCTGACGAACAGTTCTTATCTTTTGCTGTTCGTATGAACGCGCGCAGCAATATCACAAAAGGCCATGAGCGAGTGACACAACAGGGAGTAAGTCCAAGGATTCTGAAGTCTAATCCAAAGATTACCTCTGACCTCTCTAATTAAGAGTACAACAAACTACTTAATTGAATAATGTCAGTATCTTAGCAAGTTGGCACACACCCCCCCTGACCCAACAACTGTCAACTGAGAACAAGTTAGGGTTGATTTTGGGTTAGGAAAGGGGTCGGTGCGCAGTTTCTCAGATATTGACATAAAGAATTACTGGTCCTTAATTACTTTCGAAGCTTGATTTTCAATTACGCAAGACTGCGCACCAAGCAGCAACCAACCTGAAAATACCAACCATCATCTCCCAAGAAGGATACAGCTTGCTGTGAGGTGTTAAAACATTTAGCATGGCCTGAGCTGTTGTAGTACACTCCAACAGCTTTGGATATGGCTCCCAGAAGTTTGTCATCGTCTAATGACTCGTCTTGAAGATATTTACAGGTTTCCTTAAGAAAAGATTAAAAAACCGTAATCATATTTGCTTGAAATATTTTCCACCATATAATGAACAATCTCTTGTTAAGAGATAAGAAAATTAAGAACTCTCGCTTCCTTTCACGTGACTTCCTCTCTTCCTCTGCGTCTTTAAACTCATTCTAGTCCCATGAGCCACTCCTTTTCACTCACCGAGGTGATCAACAGGAACGAGGACTCTGGGTACGAGAACGTGGAAGATGAACACTTCGAGACTGAGGCTTATGTCGTAAACAAAATTATGCGCATGCACCATACCTTAATTGGCCAAGCGGGAAGAGGTTCCAAGAAACTGGCAGGGTACGGATAATCCACTGTAAATGAATGCAGCAGTCAGCGAGAAATATTTGGGCCTGCATTCATTTAATGAGGACGACAACGAATAACATTAACACTTACCCATTGCTAAGTTAACCCAGGTCTCGCTCAGCCAATATTCCAACTGAGTGACGTTGTCTTTGGTTTTCAGAGGAGAACACAGCTTAAATATACTGGATAATTTTTTCCGCCCGCTATCTACAAGAGAGTAAAACGTAAATTGAGGTATTTAGGGTGATGCAACGTTCACCCAAAAAAGTCAACAAATCACAAAAACTTTGCTTGATTAGGCTTGGTTGGGTCCCACAAAAAAAAGATATTTCTTGTACCTGTTTTGCCGTAATTTTTTACGACATCCCATGACTTCTTTACCAAATTTACACATGGTTCTCCTCCGTCACGTTGGAAATCTTCCGTGACAATTTGATAAAACTTCTAAAAATATACATCAGAAGAAATTTGAAGGAGAGAGTTATTAGCAATTTCAAAAAGTAATGCAATGTTTTTTTAACACCAAGATTACAAAAGGAGGCTCAGGACTTTAACAATTTCGTAGGAATCAGTGGATGGGCTAATATTCGGGGGGGGGGGGGGTGGTGGTGAGGTGGAGGAAGGAGACCACTTATCTTCAGAGGGCTTTCAAATGCAAAAATCTGAAAATGAGACTGAAAATGTAAAATAAGACCACCCTTTGATCACAGTACACTTGAACATGACGATCAAGGTTTTCTACGATTGACAAAATGGTGAAATCATTTTTCTTTTCCTACTTGTTCTGACCAGGTTAAATGTGATTTGAAAAAATTCTTAGAAGAGGGTAGGACAGGAGCCAATGAGCAATGAAGGGGGATAGTTTGATTAACCTCTAACCGGAATGGCGGATTTTTCGGTATCCAGAAATCTCAGATGATGTCTCACCTCACAAGGGGTCAATCCAGTAAATTGTAGAATTGGCGCCGAAGCTGCGAGGGCCCTGGGTTAGGAAAAATTACGAGTTAAAAAAAATTCAAGGCAACCTACTTTGGTTAGTAGTCAGCTTTTCAGCAATCTGAAAAATAATGACTTGTTCTCAGCACCAAATTCTCGTCTCATTTCTCTCACGGCTCGCATCAGCCTCATTTACTTACCCTATAACAATATTTGGATACTTCATTCGAAACCAAGCGGCCAGCATCCCTACAAAAGAGAAAGAAAAATATATCTAACGAAAGTCAGGTAAACATGTCGTGCATATTTCACAACATCGCCTGCAAACTAAGGAACTAGTCTTAAGGGATCTCAAGCAGTTAACACAGCGACGCCAAGTGAGACGTCGATTAAAATTAAATTTCTCTTTTCAGTTATAACTTCGAAAATGGCTGCATGTGTTGACTGTCTCTTACGGCGCCACACCTCAACTTCAGCGTAACGTATATAGGCAGCGTGGAGTTCCAAATGGAAATTTTAAAAAAATGCCGCCGCGGTTTGGTGATTTCACGTTGTTGTTTTGCAGAGGACGACTAAGAAATAAGTTTTAAAACGCACGTGCTGGCTATTGCTTCTTACCGCCGTACGATCCACCAATAGCGACCACTGGGCTTTCACTTGCTCCTGGTACTGTGTTCTAAAAAAAAACGAGGATTTAGTGAGGAGTTGCCTTTGCCAAAGCATTAGAAACTACTTCAGGAGAATCATTCGACAAACCATTAAGGGGGATAACTTTTGGAGAAGGGGGTTCTACGGTATCTGTGACCCCACCCTCTCCTCTTAGTAATAAAATGGATAATACATTATGATTAAATCACTTGGCATGCTCCTGAATTTCAGTATGACATGAATGAAAATCTCCCCTCTCTCCCCTTCCCCCCTCCCTTCCTTACTCTACCAGAGAATCCTGCTTGTACATCTCTGCATAAAATTGTTCAGAAAATATTAGTCACCTAACATGTTTAAGAGATCATTGCAATTAAATGAGAATTATTTATCAATAACCAACTAGGCAAACCCATATTATCTTGCCTTTATGTGATGAATAAGTACTGCAAAGTCAGCCAAAGCTTGCTCTGAAGTTAAATATCCTAAATACTTCGGTCCCTAAATAAGAACAATTCATTGTTAGTAGGACCTATGAGCTAGACTCAACCGAAAAGAACAGTTTTGAGGCACTAAGTCCCTAAAAAATTTCCTCTCGAAGTGTTCATAAATTCGCAGATCAAAAGACCCCTGCCTGTATTTGCCTGTTCCAACTCACCGTCAACGACAATCGAAGGGGAAAAATAATTCTTCCTCTCATATGCATCATCAAAATGAGTAACGTAAAACAACACAGATCGCTCCTTGTTGATTGAGTGACGTAGAATAAGACCTTAAGGAACCTAACGAACTGGTTAGAACAAAGGGAAGGAGGTAACCAATAAAAACCCAACATAAACACATCTAACACCCTTAAGCAAGGGAAAGCGCGCGCACGCTATCAAGCCACCTTTAGTTTGCATGTGATTGGTCGAGGAGGAAGCGCAAGATTTCTAGACTAATCACAAGGCACAGCAGGGCAGACCATTTAAATCATTCATAACTTTCGCCACTTAATTAAACACACCTTGTAAGACAGCTTTCCAAATGGTAACGACTTGCCGTAGTACCTATGCTCTGCAAAAACCAGCATGGCTTTGAATTCCCCTGCGATATCCCACATGAATCCCTGGGTACAAGACAAGTGTTGCACTCTTAGCTCACATGAACAATAACCTTCAAATTACGTTATGATTAACCCTTAAACCCCTAAGAGTGATTAGTAACTATTTTCTCCTATCGGCATCGCCCTAAAACAAACATTGAGGTCATGAGAATAAAGGAAACGATCACCAACTAAAGAAGCTCTTGATTGTTAAACAAATTCTCTTTGTCAGTTCCATAGCAAATGTATGGAAAAAAGTGTAGAGAATATGTATACTGATGTTAGGGTGTGAAGGGTTAAATGCCGCCTTTCTTTGATGATGATCACAACGGCTGCTTTGTCATAAAGTTTTCGTTACAATTAATGGGGACAAAGAATTTTGTCAGTTCCAGACTAACGAGCAGAACACGCGTGACTCGCGCTCCGGACTCAGTAGAAATCTCAGTATTGGATAGGAGCCACTTTGAGTGATAAAAAAGAAGAGGGTTCAAGGGGAGAGGCCGTCAACTCATCCCTTGTTCGCCCTAATTCCCTCTCGTCCGCTTCTACACGCAGATTGACAGAGAGCGCTCGCGAAAATGTGTGGCTAACATGCTTGTCTAATTTTTGGACCACATCTGACTTTCTTGTTTCTCGGGTAATAGGGGTACGTTTACAAACGTGATCCTCTTCTCGCTGATTGAGAGTTCAAGGCCTAATCTTTAAGATCAACTTAGTTGGTAATATTGATGGTTTTGATGATTTTAACATTAAACTGTAAGAAGGTCAGTAACCAATACTCACCGTGTTGTTCGCAAACCAGGTGATGTCTCCTTCATTTCCGGTATAAAAGAGAATTGGTCCTCCTTCTACCCAGTTCTTTCTGGCCACAAGGTAACGCTGTGGAAAAGTGCGATTGTCACTGAAGCCAAAATGATCCAGCTGTGAAATAAAAAAAGGGAAATCGTTGATGTTGATAAAGGTAAAACTGTTTCTATGTTCAGATCATCACTAAGTTTCCTTCGCACCCGGCAAGGATTTGATTGTGTTATTTTTAAGACATTGAACGTCACGCACCACTTATACGTGACAAATCCAAATTTTGAAAAGCGTGACAAAAGTTGGGTAAGCTAGGAGACGACGAATTAAACTCGGGAAAATACGGGGAAAATTCTCTTCTCTGGAGTCCGGTCTCGAACAGCAGCTTGTTTTCATGCTTTAGAGATGGGACGTGATATAAACGTGACCTGCTTGTCAAACAATAACTTTTCTTGACATTAGGTGTTAATCTGAAAATTAGCCCTCGAATTCACGAAAATTCACGGTAAATCAGATTGATGTTACAAATGAAAAAAAAAAAAAAAAAAACTAAATCAAATTGACCTTCGATTAAAGAATCATACGAAGTGATGAATGATAAATTTCATAAATGCCGATGATCTGCAATATTTGGCAAGAATATTACGAGGCCAATAATGTAATTTTTGCTCCTACGGTTGAATTTTAAGACCTGTTTACCGAAATTTAACCAATTGTAAAACAGTTATGAAGCTGAAGATCTTTTACCTTCTGGCTAAACGTTTTCGTCTCGTAGATGCAAAACGGACACAAATGTCTCTTCGCGTGAAGTCCAAAATCCTTCCCTTGCGGTCGAGGAAATCTAGCTCGAAGACGGAAGGCATCACTTGCAGAAATAACGACTAGAAAAAGGAGTGTAATCCTACAAAAATCTTCAAATGCAGCCATGATCGTTAGTCGCTTATCCCTTGCATCTGAAGTAGTAGGTACTGTGACGTCTTTCGTGTATTTGTCTGTTTCCCAGCCTAACTCGTGACTTCGGTGACCTCGTGACGATTCATCCGTGTGATTTCCTCGTGATCGGCACGGGTTATTGTTAATGTTTTCAACTATAAAAATACCTAGATCCTTTGCCTCAGAAGATGTATCTTTTGGTTTCGTTGGCTACTATAATTGCTAAATTCTCGCACTTTCTCCTCGATGAGAGAGTTTGCCTTCTGATTATACATGCATTATTAATGTAAATTTCATGGTAGTTTTTGGATGCTGGCCAATGAATCGAGCGATGTAAACAGGTTGTTTTAGTCAAAGTATATTTTGTGCTACTAGTTTCCTGTGGTGTGGATTAGGAATAAACCATGTCTCTTATATGCATAGCAGGCTATTTTATTGATGCGCTTTGAGAGGTTGAATGGCGAAGCCGTATCTGTGTGGCTGGGACGGAAAATTGTGGGTTTGATTTTTCCTCTCTAACTTTCGTTTCGCTTTATCCCTAAGAAGCAAACACCTGCACTGTCTAAATATTTCCAAACTTGGCTTTAAATCAATCCACATGTCAGCCCACAGGATGAACCTAATCTTTGCCTTGGCAAAAATCCCTTGTCATTAAGTGGAAAGGGCAATCAACCTGAACCAATTTTTCACTTCGCTCGCTTATGTTTTGTGGTGCGTCGGACGAGACTGATTATATGATCCTACCAGCTCTACTTTGACGACTTAATTTTTCTCTTATTACCAGAAATGAAGCGAATTAAACTGGAGTCGCCATGTTTTTAAATTTTATTTTAAGAATGTCAGGGGAAGCGGAGGACTCTGGGAAAGACATTACTCAGCGATTAAATTCAGTACGAATAAGCAATTAATTGTCTAAATTCGCTGCCGAGTGCGTGGCTTGATACGCTGAGCAGGGTCGGTGAACTGAATTGACAAGTTAAAAAAAATCCCTGATTGTTAAGAAATAGGAAGCCAACCATCGAGGTCTAGAGCGATTCAGTTGAAGGATATCTCAAACAGCCTGAGGGGGCAAAAATATGGAAAAAACTGAACTGATTATATCATATTTTACTCAGTTTTTTTCCCTTATCTCAGGTCATTAAATCGTCATAAATACAAAGATGAAAAAACTATTTTTCGTTTTCAAACGAAAGTGATCGCAGAGCTTTTGAATGTTTATCGGTCCGCCTTTCGAACCTCGCAAAATTCATTTGAATTTCAAATAACTTTAAAAATTAAATATTCACATTTGCGATCACAGTCTTCGTTGCACGTGGAAAGAGCTTATAAAACTACTGGAAATTTCAGCGTTTTTTTCAGCAACTCAGGGGACCAAGAAACACGTATTTTCAACCCTGGTATCAATTACATCAAATATCGTCTGCTCGTGAAAGCTAAGGTTAGCTTGTGCCTCTGATTCCTCCAACTTGATGTGTGACCGGAGTGGTTCAAATTCAGAGGATTGATGTACGCACCGATCTTTCACGTGTTCTCAAGGTAACTAACTTAACTTTAACTGAATTTTAACAGGAACACAGGGGTTGAGTCAGATTCTCGTGGTCGGTTTTGAAAATTAAGTCGCAGAGTTAAATGTATAAAGGAATTTCATGTAACACACACAGTGCAGTGTGGAACGATTCCTTAGTGCAAGCCGCCATGATAACTTATCATTGCACCACGTGACTCTTGGGGCAGCTTCATCGACCAAATTCGTGATTTTCTAGTTAGGGTCTTGATCGTCCATTTGATTATTTTTATTTTTATTTTATTTCTTGAATTTCTCTACACCTCATACAGTTATCCATGCTTGTAGTAATTTCATATTAGTTCTTCATCTCCCAGAAGTGATTAACATATGACGTCTTCCCACAATATCCATATGTAATCCAGAAAACAGGTAATAAGAAAACTCAAACTCATCAGGTAGAAGCTGTTACCTTGATCTAAAACTAATTTCTCCTGACCAATGAACAAAAAAATTTGTAGTGGCCAGAGGGGAGATTTAACAACCTGATCATTTTGGGAGTTAAAAGGTTAACACGCTTGTTATTATCCCCGACCACAGCCAAAGAAAGAAAAGTAGGTCGCTACGGCATTTTAACTAAAAAAACTGTATTATCTGGATTCCAAAGGTTTTGCTCTCATCTTCCACACAGAGACCATGCATGATATTAAAAACTTCCCATTATCTCGAGTTAAGTAAAAAACCGAAATTTCTGGCTAGTCTCCTGAACTATGTGTTATTGATGAGGAAATATCGTTTTCTACTTGCCGTATTATGTTTATAGAAATTGCAACGTTAGCTCACCGTATAAGACTCGTTGCTTTTTTACTAAGGATTTTCAAAATCTTTTTATCTGCCTTCAGGCAACAAATATCGTTAGTCATACACCTAACCTGATTCTATTTTTTTTTTCAATTCAGAGCCAACCAAAGTAAAAATGAAGGAAACTACCAAAAGAAAATATGAAATAATTGAAATTAGTGTTTCCACCGGACCGTCTCCGACTTTTTTTTTTATTTTTGCCTGAATAAGATGACTTGTCGTGGATTATAGCACTATTGTGTTTATAAAGTCACTCTACTACAACAATTTCTGATAAAATTGAAATACTGTTACTAACGAAATATCTAGTTATTTGTTCTGCTATTAAGAACTCGCATCCCTGTGTCATATCAAATTATTATAGTAACGGTTTAGTACGTCGAAAACCGACGTAATTTTTAAGGTAAAACAGCGCTCAGTGGCTGAGGAGCGTTTCTAGGTCATTTAAAAACTCCTGTTGCCTACGTAGGGAAACTGATTAAAATTATCAACATCCGATGTAATGGAAATTGATATCACTCATTAGAAAATCACTTACTTAATAAAAGATAGGTGTGCATTTATGCACAATAGCATATATTTTCTTCTTTCTTTAGGATAGCATCAGGCATAGAATGGGAACATCTAGTAATCAGCATCAGGGAGGAAGGAAAAACAGGAGAACGTCGAACAGGGTCAGTTCTGTAGTTATTTTGTAATTAAAGGCGAATAGGTGACCAGCCATCATTTATCGCCGGGTGGATGGGAAGTCTGATGATTTTGGTTATGTCACGATAAAATGTACCTGAAAATCCCATAACGCTTTGTTTCCCTAAAAACTATCTGATCCTCCAAAGACTCCTGCTGTCTCCCCGCCCTCTCTCGCCCTCTCCTGGTGATAATAATGACTGCTCCCTTGACTGTTTGCTCTCGAAATTTTTATCGATCCCAATTGATTGCTTGAACATAAATAAACGCCGATTAGAATGTCGATAATTCAAATTTAGCTAAGTCAAAACGATAAAGGAAGCCAAAACGACAAAGAAAGAAAGAGATATTTTTTTATGTCTTATTTCTTGGATCTCATGATGGCGATTTCAATAGTTTGCAGTACTGTTGGTTTGACAACCACTTTGTTCCTTTGTTCTAAGCATGAATACTTCCGAACTTCCGACCGATCAGGTTACCATAGCGACGGTTTACAATGGCAAATGCTCCTTAGTTAAGCTTGGTTTATCACTTTTGTATATACACTTTCAGCAGATATTTACTAGCATAGAGTTTGTCCATGTGCGAGTTAGTTCTTTACTTTGCTACGCTGACCAAAAAAATCTCATGGCTTATGCTCCTAAAAATTGTTTCTCGAATTTTGTCCAAGAATTTCTTGTAAACCTACGATTAGTGTTTAAAATACGCAACAAGTTTCCTTTAGAATTGTTTTTTTACTTGATACAGTAAAATCTCTGGAGCCTCTCTGTTTAATACATTATGACGGAGGAGGAGGAGGAGGTACGGGGTAAGTGTGACTGAATCATATACGCACATTTTACATTTATAACTTGAGGCGCCCAAAACCAACCTTGCCGCCGATTTAGAGTATGGTATACGTACTCTTTCGACAGAGATGTCCAAACGTAAATTCGCCGTTTGAGTTGGCGGTTTTGATAAGCCTCTTTTCGATCCCCGAAAAGGCCTTTGGTTCAAAAAGTCACAACTCGCTAGGTTTCCATGCAAAGATCGTTACATTTATTTCAACACTACAAAGGAATTCGTAAGAAATAACATCTCAATATTTTACATTCTTAGCTTACTTTAGATCTACATTTCGGGTTACCTAACTAGAATTATCAGCCAAGGTCAAGTGCTTTAAGCAACGTAAACCGAAAAATACATAAAAAAACAAAAATTTGGTTCGCTATCCAGAACTCGCGGGCTCACGGTTGTGGCACCAGTTCAGGCTTTCTTCTCCTGGTCGATAGCTAAGTCAAACACAAAGAAAATGAATTGTTATTAACATCAGTATCCATACTATCCATAGTCTCCTTTATACATTTCCTTTGGTACTGACCATGAGCAGATGAGAATTAGTTTAACAATCATAGCTTCTAAGGTTGGCGATCATATCCTTTACTCTCGTGATATTAATGAATGATTCGACAGTATTACTGTGAGGAAAAATGAAATGCTGGTCACTCTGGGGGTTTAAAGGGTTAAAGTGCTGTTTGAACTTCTCAGGTGGTCTTAGTCATTATGTAACGCTACTTCCCAAAATAGATTGTGTTACATGGGAATTGTTACATGACGAGATAGACACAGATAGACACAAGCTTAACCTCGCTTCCAGGGACTTCACGAACCACGCAATTAATAATTATTTTTAATTTTTACTTTTCTCTTAAGAGCGGTACAGATAGCAGACCTTTATTCATCGAGCTCTCTCGTTACGAAATGCCAAGGCAGTGAAATTTTATCTCTTGAGTGGCTTTCATTGTAATCTTTAGTGTTGGGGAGGGTTAATAAAATTTTAATTCTTTCGTGTTCAGTGAAGAATGTTCGGATTAAAATTGACGCTCATGACTCCCTCCTTCTTCACTTCCAGAGGTTTGTATGCAGGACGATCAATCGGAGAGAGGAGGGGAGGGGGATATTTTTAGCCTAAAATAAGCAGTGATACATCATTACTTAATACGAGAGATTTAAACTCTCCGCTCTTAAGGGGAATCAGTCGTCGCTGGCAGATCATAAAGGGCGACTACAGAAATTAGCAGCTAATTCGGAGAGATCATTAGAATACTACAGAGCCATAGGTGGATCAGGTAATCAGGTAACTTTTATTGTGACACAAACAAAATTCTCCGACTTTCCCCACTATATTAGGCGATAAATTTCTTGACTGCCTAAACATGATCTCGTTTCAACGGTAAAACAAATAGCCTTTTAACCTTCTTTTCCATGAATAAACCTTGTTTGTATAGAAACAGACAGAAAAAGCAAATTAGCGGTCTACTGGCTCCGGGCAGTTTCCATGTATTTCCGCCTTCGATGAATCTTTTTTACAGAATTTTCAAAAAATTGACTTAATTAGTTTGCAACGTTATTTACGAATTTCTTTCCTTATAAACGGCTTAGATCAAACCATCATGACTTCAAGTAAATCAAATTAGTGGATGTGAGCTTGACTCAGAAGATTGAAAATGAAGCCCATTTTGTTTTGTTAACGGCGCACGAATTGATTTATTCGCCTGACTACTTCCAGCGCTGACAAACTTGCGACGTTGCACACTTTGTTGGTTTACTTCAAGATCGCAAAAAGCTTCTGTGTGTGTAAAACGAAAAAAAAAAATTCATCTCTTACTTTCCTTGGTCGGAAGAGTATTCTTCTCTTTAGTCTCAGTCTTCTTTAGTTTTGAAGCATCAAACTTACTGATATCATTGAACACAGCATCTTTGTCTGCCATCCTGGGGAAAAAATATCACACGGAACTCGTATTTAGCTGCCTGGAAGTCAAACATTCCGCGAAATAATTATTTTATCCACAACTTCAACAGACAAGTTCAAACACACTAAAGTTCAAACGGAGAGGTTTTTACCTTTTAAGATCTCAGTTTCGATCGCTTGGGTTATGAAACAGTTCTCGCTCTTCTGATCGAAAGGGAACAGGCCACTTCACGTTAACACGCCTGATGGAATATGCAGTATTAATGAATCAAACTAAATCAAACACTAGCCAATGAGAGAACGTTTTTAATGAGGCGTATTTGTCATTCCGCTAAGATTAAAGGCTCAACCTGAAAAACAAATTTAGCAATGTCTGAGTGTATTGATATAATCGAATCACTACCGGAAGCCTTAAAAAATGCTTGGCCAATATTTGAAACGAATCTAACGTCTTCCCTCAGTATTTGGTTTCATCCATTTATGAATTAACAAAAAAAAATTCAAAGGGCATGGGGTTATTAAATGATGGAAAGTTATTGACATACATTTATAATCATGCTAATAAAACAATAGAGTTCGTGTTTCGCGAAATATGTTTTGGTCCCGACTCAGAGTGTTAAAATTTGCGCCCAAGAGTATAAACTGTATTATTACCATCATCACTTTGGAGGGCTTTAAGAAAATATGAACAAAACAAAATGACAAGAAAACAGTCTGAACCATTACGCGAGCGTGCGAGCGGGCTAAAATATATCTCAGCCCGCCAATTTGTTTTTTTTAGCCCGTAAAATGCACTACAATGCCTGACAAAGTGATAAGAATTATATGTGACGACCTAAGTACGAAGAAGTAAGTTGGTGCCCATAACCCTAGCCTACAGACAGCAATCATGTAAATCACCTAACACCCACTGTTAAATCCCTCAAATTAACGCATCAGTTAAACAGTATATCTAGAGTAATAATGTTGTGCCTCAGAAGGAATCCAACACACAACAAGTTAATTTGATGTGCCACTGAAACAATATTGACTTATCATTTACCTACCACAAAAGCGGTGCGGCCTTTGATTTCAAAACAGACGTCAACATTTCGACGAGACGATAAGAATCGATAGAAATCACTCGTTGATTTCTTATGCATAACCTTTACTAAACAGTAATCTATTGATTAATATTCAACTTAACAATTAATAAATCTTAACCGCCGAGACGTCCTCAGTGAATTTAAATTTTGTTGATAGCTAAGATAATCAATAGCGGATTGGACTCCCGGCGACGGCAAAACTGTCTTTTGTGTTGTAATAGGTTAGAATATTTTGATTACGCTGGAGATATGTTGTAACTCGCATTGAATGCAAAACAAAAGAGAAAGCAGATTTCAGTTTTATAATTTAGCTAACAATCTTAAATGACACGAAATAATGGCTTCGAAAACGAAGAAAAACACATTAACACACTCAAATAGAAGCAGAACAGGAGAAAAACAACAACAACAGATACTATATTAGGGACCTCAAGCGGTCAGGACGGCAACGTCAAGGAAGACTTCGATTAAAAAACGAATTTCTGCCTTTACTTAGAATTTAAAAAATGGCTGCATGTGTTTACCGTCCCTAACTGCCCCACACCTCAGCTTCCGCATAACGTATAAAAGAAGCGCTGAGTTCCAAATGGAAATTAAAATAATTTGCCGTCGCGGTTTCGGTTCGTAGACGACGCAAATTGTGATTTCACGTTATTGTTTTACATAGGACGGCTAAGAAACGTACACAGTTTTAAAACGCACGAGCGGAGCTATTTTTCTGCCAATTAGATCTTTTGTTTTTCCATGTTCTCGTTGCCGTCACCGTCGTGGTTTGCTTAAGATCCCTGTCACATTTAGGACGGCTACGAGGATATGACGAAACAAACTATTTACAATTTTTAGCCGACACCAACATTTGCGTGATCTGAGAACGGAAACCACGACGGCGAATTATTTAAGTTTCTATTTTGAACTCAACGCTGCTTACATACTTTAGTTGAACTTGAGGTGCAGCGTCGTAAGAGACGGTAAACACATCGAGCCATTTGGAAAATTCTAACTAAAAATATAAATTCATATTTAAAAAATCGACGTCTTCCTCGGCGTTGCCTTCCTGACTGCTTAAGGTCTATGATAACAAATAAAGAAGCAAAGACCCATCTCTAATCATCTCCTCTACAATCTGAAATAGTACGTGACCTCTGGGAACAAGAATGAGCCATTTACGACCCTCTCGAGCAAACAAAGCGCAATGTTCTTCCTCGGTGGTCGAAGTCTTTGAAA